ACAGCAACAAAAAACCCAAAAATACTTCACAGATATCTAAAAAAACATTTTTTTTTTTTTTCTCAGAGATACAAGGTAAAGCAGCATCACTTTGACACTGTGCTTTAAAAAAGAAGATGATGAATGAAAAGACTGCTCGAGTGAGATTAGAAAAATTTTGCTTTCTTCTTGAAGAAGACTACTAACATTTTGCACAGCAACTATTTTTATAACCACCTCATTTTTAAAATTCCTAGACACAGAATTGTCATTTCACCGCCAGTTTTGCTCAAAGTGTCTGACTTTACACAGTGGAAACTGAGAATGCCAAGTGTCACCAGATGTCACTATACCATGAGTTCAAGATTGGAACAGAAGTGAAGCAAATGCCTTGAAACCAACACCAGGAAAGAAATGAAAGTGTTTTGTAAACAAAACAAAACCACTTTGCAAAAAAAAATAAAACAACAACAACAAAAAAAAAATAAAACCAGAAAAACCGAGAGTTCAGAGATCTCACAGTGAAATCAGAAATTCTAATTATGTATGTTTTTACATTCTAGGACTACTCTTTACCTTAGGCCAATTAAAGCACATTAAACCATTTAATTATATACAAACATTTTCTTTAAGAAAACAAAACGAAACAAAAAAATTTAAAACATTGCACAGAAGTCTGCTTTTAACATCACATAACAAGGTTAGTTTTATTTTCAAAACAATTACATTTAAGGGCACAGAACATACAGAATACCAAATTAACAGATGAATAATTTTGCTTCTCTGTACATGCTAAATCCAAAGATTTCCTTGAGAAAGCTGGAGCTTGGCAACTCCAACTTCTTCCACGTCTCCTGTTCTCTGAAAGGGAGCAATTCCCAACACCTCCTCTATCTCAGGATTTAAAAAAATAGATATATAAAAAAAATAAAGCTGTTTTAAAGTCGTAAGCATCTTTTTTAAGTGCTGGCAGAGCTCCCTGGGTGGCTCTGCCCCCTTCCACTGTAACCTCGTGGAAAGAAATTCTTTTTTTTCTCCTCGGTTACAGGGCTCATGACTCTCATCAGAAGTCTCATCTTGGCCCTTCTGGGATTAAGGAACACACAAGTGGAGAAGTAAAAAATACACAATATAAGGAATATATACTGAAGGCCATTTTTATTTCTTACAATCTCGCACTGTTTCCTTTCCCTAAAAGCTAAACAGGAAAAATTATTTGAAAAAAAAAAAAAATAAACAATAAAAAAACCCTCTAAACTTTGGCAGAGAATAGCATCAAATCAGCCATTAAAAAAAAAAAACTTAAATAAAAACAGTCTCCCAAAATGTACGATTAAATTCTCAAGAAGCCTCTTCTTTTTTATTTTCTTTTTTTTTTTTTTTTTTTAAATAAAAGGCTTCTACCATTTCCAGGAGCAAAATTCAAATATCTTACCAGAAAAAAAATAAGTTAAGGGAAATAACAAGAAGAAAAAAAAAGCTGTCATTCCAAACTCAGTTTTCCAAGACTTGTCATCCTAAGCTCAAGGCAATATAATAAATAAACCCATTGCTGCAAGACACAAGCACAACCAGCCCCTCCCAGGGGGAGGAGACCAGGCAACAAAATTCATGGAACTGACTGTCCATGGTGGGAAACACTCTTGTGGTTCTGCTGGACCAAAAAAATGGGTTTTTAACCCCAAATTCATCAGTTTCCCCCTCAGCAAAGGCTTGTTTACGCTATAAGAAAAAAAAAAAAAATAAAATCCCTTCTCCTACACAAGGTCCTTTTTGCCAGCAGGCAGCTTGCTTGGAACCTTAGCAATATCTTTATTTAATAATAAAGGCCTTTTATTAAGTGGTTTTATGCAGCAAAGAACATCAGCAATTTCCAGGACCTCTAGGACACAACGAGGCTGAAGAGCAGCACACGAAAACACCTGAAGAGAAAAAAAAGCACTGGAGAAAAAAAATTCGATTCAAAGCTTCACAATACCAGGTCCAAAGATTGGGTTGGGGGGGGGAGACAGATTAATAATCCATGATGATCCTGCCTGCTAATTAGTGTGATTAACGTGGCAGCTCGTTAGCAAAAGGGACAAGAGATGGGAGTGGGAGCTGGAGCACCTGGGGCTGTGCAGAGCTTTCCTGAAGGACAAGAGTCCCTTCCCAGCCAAGGGTGGTGTCCCCATGGATGT